GGTGGAACAACACTTTGATGGCAACGATCAACAAATGTACAGACATTCGGACGAGGTGACTCAGACGGAATGAAAGCTGTGAGCGACCATGAATGACGTGCTCGGCTTCACGCTTTCGCATCCGTCTTGCGCAGCTCAACGGCGCCCATTCGCCAGTCGGAAAAAGCGGGAGGCTTGGAATTCGTTCCAAAATGGCCGCCTCCAACTCAGAACCGGCCCACTTTCCTGCGTCCCGTCACGATGGAAAAAAACGAGGGTCCGGAACCAGTTCACCGCGAAAACCAAAGGATTACCGTCGCTGTTGATGTGCACATCAGGCAGGCGCGGAGGGTCCGCCGTTAGCAGAAGCCAAACAATCGAATGACATCATCAAACATTCCTGCGGCGCGCTTGGTCGTCTTGTGGCGTCGCCGCCTCAAGCTGTCGACGCGTCCACTTGAGCTAGCCGCGGTGTAAAGCCGTGAACCCGAGCACGAAAACCTGCTCTGACAGCCGAAACCTGACTTGAAAACTCCAACCCTCATGAGAAACTTGAACCCTGTCTGGAAAGCCAAACCTTGCCGTCCAACTCGAAATGGGAAACCGAAAGCCGTCTTAAAACAAATCTTTTAAACTTGACCTCTTTACCAGGTTATGCAAGTCAAGTGCGGTGAAAACAAGTGAGAGGGCGGCGCTGGGCGGATGACGATCATCGCGTCCCCTGCGGGGCCGAGTGTCAGCCAGCAAGAGGGAGGGGGCGCTATTGGAAGTCTTCAACATGCTAATGAGGACACTTGAGTGATGGCGAGCGACGGGAGGCCGCCGACTCAAAGTCACTTTAGCCTCCGCCAGGAAAAAATACAAATTGACGTCTACGCTCGCATTTTTTTCTTTTTTTCTTTTTTAAACTCTTACTTGTAATGCTCGTGTGATGTTGAAAGATTTCACGGAGGCAGCGAGTCAAACGCTTCCACTTAAGAGGAGGGAAAGACGATGCTTGTTAAGACATTTTCTTTCATAGGGGGGGGGGGGGGGGGGGGGGGGGGGGCGCTTTGATTCGTCGCCGGCTTTGTAGCGAGCGCGGGAAGCCGCAGCCGAGCATCCAACAGGTGGGAAGGAAGGCGGCGAGGCTTCCTTCTCTCGCCGTCACGCTCGCATTCAGCGTTTGCATCGCCGCCGTAACTGAGGTGAAGGTGTTCAACGGAGAGCTGCTGAACACTCCCTCGGGTTGGAACATTCAGCGTTGGAGAAAGCAAATTCCACACGCACGCACACACACCGGCACATGAATGACAATCGAATGATTTTTTTTTCACCCCCCACTCCAATAAATAAATAAATAAATAAACAAACCAACAAATAAATAATCAAGCAACGGCTAAAGATATCCATGAAATTCAGACCTCCCAAAAAGCTTCAGACTTTCAAATCTGGAGTGTCTGCTGCCAGGGATGTCAAGCTGAAGAGGATGGCGGCGACGCTGGCGGCAAAAGTTTGCCGCGGCTGCGACGGCGTGACCTCACAAGGTGAGGCGGCGACCGGCCGGCACCCTTTCCGCTGTTTCCTCCCCCGCCCAAACCTCCTTGCCCGTCTCCTGCACACTCGGAATAAATTGCGGCTGTCCGGACATGAAAATGTCAAATACCTAAAATACACCGAGGCTAAATAGCATATTCATTTTTAATGCCCGCTCATCCCATGCTGCTATTCTCATATCAGGCCTGTCTGCCGACAGCTGTTGCGGCCGACGCCCGCCCGGAATTTATCATCCGTCTCGTTGGAGGGCCGGCGGGGGGGGGCGTTCACACCACACACTGTAAAACTGGCCTCCAAAAAGCAACATCCAAAGTCCAACCCAGACTTGAAGCCCAACCCCTTGCTTGAAAGCCTACCTTGAAACCCTGAAGCCTTGCTTGAAGGCCACCCCTCGGCTTTGAACCCTCATTTCAATCCTGAACACGAGCTTGAAACCGTCATTTGACAGACGATCTTGTTCTCCCGATCCTGATCCGAAAGCCCAACCCTTGCTCGAAATCCAACCTTGAAACCCCGATGCCGAATTCGAACCTCTGCAATGCGAGTCGAATTTGCAACCCTGACCCTGTTTTCAACCCTCCTTGCAGAAGCGCGAGCCTCGTGCGAAAGCCGAACCCAGGCTTGAAACCCCGATTCCAAACCCTTGACCCGTGAGGTGCCGACTGCAATCTTAACCCAGATTTGAAACCTTGACGTCTTCTTGAAACACAAACTTTTAAAGCCGGACCCTGGATCCGTAACTTCACTTTTAAACACCCAAACCCTGGTTTGAAACATTCGCCGGAAATGCTAACGGCGTCTTCAAACCTGAACGCTCTTTTGAATCCCTACTTTTAAAACCTGAACCTTGTTTTACATCCAAAGGCTCGAGACTCCCATTGGAAAGTTTCAGATTGTTTGAAAGCTGACTTTAAAACCCTGACTCCTAATTTACAACACAGACCCTAACTCGGCTCAAAACCCGAATTCGAAACCTCAATCTTGACACCTTGACGTGAAGGCGCGTGAAGCAAGGAGCATCGTGTCAAGATACTTCTGACCTATTTCTTGCCCATTTCCTTTCGGAATTTCAAGCACCTGCGCCTCGCCCCGCCTTTGATATACGATTCAATTAGTTTAATGCCAAACATAAATTGCGCAACAATCCTGCGCCCCAACGTGCCCACGTGAACACACAGACAAAGACACACACACACACACACACACACACACACACAAACACACACATACACACACACACGCGCGCGCGACGGTGACATTGACGGTGGAGGTAGTGACATTGGCGCGTGGAGGCGGCACGGCGGAATGCCACCCGAGTGTGTTTTTAGGTGGCATGTGGCGGGTGATTACAGCAGATTATCACAATCCAGATTGTTACAAATTGAGAATGTGTGTGTGTGTGTGTGTGTGTGTGTGTGTGTGTGTGTGTGTGTGTGCGTGTGTTGTGTGTGTGTGTGTGTGTGTGTGTGTGTGTGTGTGTGTGTGTGTGTGTGTGTGTGTGTGTGTGTGTGTGTGTGTGTGTGTGTGTGTGTACGCGTGCGCGCACTTAAAGACACGACGCCTTTGGGGATAAGTCGAACTGGCGAGTGAGTGATGAACAGTTGGTGTGTGTGTGCGAGATGTTCTTTCTCATGGCACGGCCAGGACCATCAAGTTTCGGGACAGGCTGAGAGGCAAAACATTTCAACGGCGAGTGTTTGGAGAGTCATCGGGTAATTTACTTGACTGCATACTCAGGTAGAACCCCCCAAAAAAAAAGCGCGACAGAAAATGTAATGAAATGAAAAGTAAGGATATAAAATGAAGGCAAAATAAAAATGTTGAGAAAGGTGAAATTCTAATCCTGTAATATAATGGCTGACACATTTAAAATCATATGACCCTAAATTTGGATTAAAAAAAAAAAAAGTCAAATATTCTTGGGGAATTTGTTTGATGCCAAAGCGGATGTCAATTCCAATTCCAAATTATCATTAAAAAATTCACTGAGTCGAAGTAAAGCCCAACGCATGAATAAAATAAATCGCAACTGAAAACATAGTGCGGGTTGACACTTGATGTCAGTGTGTTTAAAAAAAACAAAAAACAAAACAATCCTAAACACATTCATAAATTCTCAAATATTGACTTGAACTGAATTCGAGGTTGTTGTTGCCTGACGCACGTGTGGCGAAACTACAGCGCAGCTTTGCTTACCTTAGCACACCAACAGCATACTGGAGTGAACCTCGGTGTTGGATTGAGCCGCCTGTGGCCGGCACTGCTGGCGGGAACGCCACCTGAAAGGGAGGGCAGAGGCCGCCATGAGCGCAAGAAACTGGGGTGGCTTCAAGCGCCCTGCCGCCGTCTCATTTTAAAACAATAAAGAAGATGCATCCATAGCGTGTGCAGTTGCGCCGTTGTGGGTGTGCGTGTGTGTGTGTTTTTTAGATTTCTATCATGTCTACCATTTTCCCTTGATTGAACGTCGACTGGTAAATCTAAAATCCATTTGAGTCCACTGACACAAACCTTGTAGCAGTCATCACATGTCAGGGCAAAAGAATGACATGTAGCGTATTTTTATTGCTGTCAAATGTCAAAATGGGTCAAATTTGACCCCGAGGGTACAGATGAAATCAAACCGTGCGCCCGGAGGCACTTTTTGGAAATCCATCCCTTCCCAGCGGGACAAAGGCGAGGCCACCGCGCCGAAGCTAAATACCGCACGCCACTCGGGGCACCTTTCATTTTCCACGCGCTCGATGGCGCCTATCTATTTATCGGCGCGCAAGCATCGGCTGCCACCTCTGACAAGCCGCACTTCATCGCCGCGCTCCTTCTCATCGCCCTCATCCTATTCCTCCGTGCCGCCTCCTCCACCTGGATGGAGGATATCTTACCATGAACCCCCCCACCCCTCTAAACCCCTCCCTCACTCTTACAGTTGTCTTCATCCCGGTGGAATGTAAGTTTAGGATGGGGCAAAAAGTGAAATTTACAAGAACAAAGAACAGCTGAGGAGCCACGTCGACCGGCTTCCTCAGTACGGGCTAAAATTTGATAGGCGTGTCCTTCACAAGTAGACCCACAAAAAAAAAGTCTCGAGAATCCGTTCTCGAAAAGACAAAAAGTCTGCAATTTCGACGTGCAAAAAAAGTTTGAAGAATCCTTGACGGAAGAGACGCAGGAAGTGCATCCTTTTGCCTCTCGGCAGCCATTTTAGGGTCATTTTGTCCGATTGCCACCAAATTCGAACCTCGTTTCCTAAGCAGACAACCAAGAAGCCTATTATGAACGCTTTGAGTGTTTGGTGGAGCAAGGCTGCGAACTTTGATGACAGCCCCCGCCTTCCATCCGCGATCATTTTTTTCGAACACGCAGCCCCGTAACCCAGTAGCCCAGTTTGACGTGGCAAACGTGAAACTCGGTAGACAAAGCAAGGCGAGACGTTTGGAAGCGGCCCATTCAATTTTGGCCAGCAGTGGCCGGGTCGCGGTCCGAGAACCATTTCGGCGCTGAGCAAAATAACCGCATCCCGCAGATGAGATTCGGGCGGTTTGGAACGTTTTCGGGGTGAAGATTTGAAGGCAGCGTGGCATTTACGGCCGCGTTTGTTCCAACGGTTGGCGAGTCCTCGAAAGCAAAACAACGGCAAACCAACGCGCCGCCGTCTCCTCTGCTGCCGAATGTGTTTGAAATAAGCCAAACGTGCCAGCGTAGGAGGCGTTTAGGGGTTAAAATGACTGTCTGTCTAATCATCTGCACAACAATATTTGCTGTGAGGCATTCTAAATAGATTATCGCTGGTCCATCTGTGTCATCATTGATTTATAAGGCATTAAGCTGCTCGGGGAGGAGAGCGGGCGCCGCTTTTTAAAGGGGCTCCTCGCCGCCGCCGCTCACCTCCCCTTTAAAACAGGAAGGAAGTGGAAATAGGACGGGAAAAAAGGAGATCCCAAAATGTTCGGCATCTCTTTTTGTTTGGCGATACAAAAGAGGCTGGGAGGAGGGGAGCAAGTACAGGAGGAGGAGGAAACGCACACACACACACGCACAGGAAGAGGGGAAAAAAAAAAAAAAAAAAACAAGGGCCATGATTAACATATGAATGCTATATGCAAATGGCGGGGAGAGAGCAGATGTCGGTGCATTTAATTGACCTATATGTGAATTGGATCCAAAGCTTTCAGTGTGCTTTCTGGGGCCCGCCGAGTGCAGTTTGGACGCTTTGGCGTTGGAGCGGCGCGCCGCACGCCAGCACGGCGCTGCCGCCGTTTTCGACGCCACAGCGCCAGTGAAATCACATCAGCATCGCAGCGAACTATTTCTGTGTTGTCAAGAAACAAGCGAAAAGTGCCCCCCACCCTCCAAAAAAATGTGAGAAATTCAAATTTAAAAAAAAATAAAAAGGGTCAATCACAAGTGGATATTCTTTCAAATTTAAAATAAGGTAAAAATGCCTCAAATTTGTCGAGAATGGATCGAGTCATAAGCGCAGATGCTAATGACGGGGAAAAAACAAACTTGACTGAAAGTTGCACAAAATGAAAATTGGGAAACTTTGTCCCCCAAAAATAACTGAGTGAAAATAGCCAACATTTGTAAAAAAAAAAAAAAAAAAAAAAAGGATTAAAACTGACTGACTGAAAATGTAAATGAATAAAAAAAAATCTTGTGCAAAAAATGAAAAATCCGAGTCAATTTTGATCATAAAATCCGTGAAAATGGGTCCAACTTTTCACTGCTTTTCTAAATAACAGAAACGCTAAACGTCATCATGGGGTGTCGTCCGATTGT